TCTTGCCCCCCCCCCCCCTCCCCCTCTGAGCCGAGTGTGCTCCGATTGGTCGGGACCAGTCGGGACGTTGTGAATCGCGCTGAGCTCCGTGGAGGTGTGATTTCCTTGTTTAGCGATACACAGCGAAACACAGCCAAACTCACCCTGAGCACACACAAAGTCACAGCCGAAGTAAAAACAATAAGTGTGGCTTGATATTGAGTAAGAAAAAGGTTGATAAACGGTGTGAAAATGGGTCTGCAGAGAGAATTTCGCCGCGATCCCAACTGTCTGTTATCAGCCAGGGAGGAGAGATCAGCAGAGCTGCATGCACTGAGTGTGTGAGGAAGTCCGTGGATTGGTCAATTTGGACCAATCAGCGGAGGCTTAACGTAACGGCTCCGCGGACATAACGTAACGGCTCCACGGATTGGCCCATTTGGTTCCGGGTACCGCATGACCGTATCACGTCATAGTTCTGGGCGTGGCTACTGGGTGCTTCTACGACACAGCACCCAGGAAGTAAAAAATGGACAATGACGTTTCACCAACGAGGCGTTTTGGGGAGGTATTTTCTGTGTTAGAGTTTTACTCGCTACATGGTGTACTTTGAGGGTTTTGACTGCACACCGTTTACATGCATAAAAACCTTCATAACACACAAGGGGACGGGTAATAACCGGAAAAGCATGACATGTCTCCTTTAACGTCCGCTACGTCGCCTGCGTCGGCTAAGCCGCCCGCCTACGAACACACCGCAAAGACTTCAGTCGACGAGTGGCAATAACTGTCCTTACCAGCAGGCAGCCGTAGTGTGTATTCATCATTGAAAAGAGGCAACAACAGGAAGACAGACTGTGTTATACACAGAGAGAAGAAGAACAGGCTGCGTGATATAAACAAACAACAAATAGCATCTGGGTTCCATTTTCACTCTCTCTCGTCAATCGAAAACATGTAAACATAAAAAATAAACTCTTGCGTCCGGGTGAGATGAAAATGAAAAAGATTAACCGTCTGTGTGTGCCTCATACTTGCCAACCCTCCCGATTTTCGCGGGAGACTCCCGATTTCATTGCCCTCTCCCGGTTTCCTCCCGGGGTCATATTTCTCCCGCATTTCTCCCGATTTCTGACCAAATCAGATTTACTCAGGACTGTTTCTACTCGGACTACAGCTACACCATTGTTTGGTTTCCATGGTAGCGCGTCTCTTTAGTACCGCACGCAACTGAAAGTCTGAGAGGGTGAGGGAGAGAGTCACAGAAAACAGAACAAGAATGGACAACTTGACCCTCTGCTCACTCCTTTCCTGTAAAATACAGGTCCAGCCCACACATATGCTCCATCAAGGATGGTGCTACAGGCCGCAAGGCAGTGCACTTACCACTACAATAAGCATGTTATTGCCCCCGCGGTGGTTTTGAAATCCTCCCGATTTCTGAGGTCTCAAGGTTGGCAAGTATGGTGTGCCTTCTTAATCGTTTGTTTTGGTCCCTCACTTCCGCTTTGCTTCTCATGCACTTACTCGCTAAGCTGAACAGCCAATCTGAGTGATTTCTTTGTCCCGACTTTCTCTGAACTCCCGCGGCCGATTCAACATGGCCGCGGGAGGTGTGAAAATGTGCCGTAAAGAGACGACGGTGCGGGACACACCAACCTGAGTAGGGCGACGCGAATGCCCAACTGCCTCTGACGGCCTCTGACTCCCAAAATCGGGTTGGTGTGTCAGGGGCTTTAGACCTTACAAAACACAAGGATAGAGCGGCTCCTGATAGCCCTGGAAGTACTGCTGGCCTGGAGACTGTAATCTAATGGGAGAAATAACAAGCAGCATCAACACCACTTTCAGTTACAGACTGACTATTCCATGTGGTGGTGCAGTGGTGACGGAGGTCCACGAGGATGTTAGCATCACAAGAGATCCCTTGACTACAAGCAAAGGGGTTTTCCATTGCCTTCTATTCCTATGAATTACGTGGGCCTCTGAATTTATGTTTTATAATAATCAAAATTACTTACACCAGGAATGTTGACATGGTCACTAAACCTAAGAAGCAGTTTACCCCAGTGGAATTTATATATTGTTATTCTTGGGGATGGTGAGAAAGGGCTATTGGATATCCCTGTTTGTATCACCTACACACACACACACACACACACACACACACACACACACACACACACACACACACACACACACACACACACACACACACACACACACACACACACACACACACACACACACACACACACACACACACACACACACACAGATAAATGTACAATAAAGTTGACTTTGACTTTGAATTATATAACATCAGGACCAGTGGCCTGATGACCAGGACCTTTGGATTCAAACTAAGCAGAGGTTTATGCCTTCTGGTCTACTGTCACCAGAAGCTGCCAATCATGTTTCCATAGTCAAAAGTCAAAGTCAAAAGTCAAAGTCAAAAGTCAATGTCAGCTTTATTGTCAAAATGACTACATGTATTATACATCCAGAAATCTCGAGATACCGTTACCCGCAGTCCCATAGTGTGACATATATACATAAAACAGACATATACTGTATACATAAAACAATAGTTTTAATAAGTGCTGGTTAATAATATATTTAAAATGTTCAAAGTACAGTTTCAGTGCAGTAGCAGCGGAGATGGGCAGACAAGTGACTGGTGCTGGATGAGGGAAGGTTGTCTCAGTGACACTGCACATAATTGCTGACACTAGGATTTTAGAGTTCAAACTGCAAGTATGAAGCATTACAGATTCCACACCGACTGAAACTTAAATAAAACCACTGAAGGTGCGTGGCATTCAAATTCACTAAAGCAGTGTGTGCTTATTATCTTGGCTTCCTTTACAGACTTAAATGTTGTTTTTCAACTTCTCACTTAGTGTGCGTAGGATGCAGCATTGGTTTTTATTAATGTATAAAGCCATTTCAGGTAAGCTTCCACTGTACATATGTGCCAGAATTGCTCCAGTTTGTGACTCTCACAACCTCAGATCCAGTGCCTGGATACGGGTCCAGGTTCCTGCTGTGCGGACTGAGGCTGGGAAAAGGAGTCTTTTTCATTATGGTCCTTGGTCTTGGAATGACCTTCAATCAAGCCTCAAACTGAGGGCACTTGTCCCTATAGCCTGTTTTAAATTGAAGTTGTCTGAAGTCCTTACCACCAGCTGCTCTTGCAGTCATAACAAGTAGCCCCTTTCTTACTGTCCTAATGTGCACAATGTAGTGACTGCTTTTCCTCTTTTTGTTTACTTAGTTATGTTCTCTGTATTTGATATGTCTGTGTTATGTGTAATAATGTGTAACGTTGCTGCCTTCTTGGCCAGGTCAGCATTGTAAATTAGATTTGATCTCAATGCTTTTATCTGGTTAAATAAAAAATGAACACCTCACATAGTAAGTCAACATTACATGAAGGCCTTTACAACTCCACCTTTAGATGGTGTAAATCCTGTTAGCAGGAGCCTAAACTCTGCACAGATTGAGATGTTGGACTCTATTCTGTGACACGCCGGCCACCACAGGCCCTTTGTGCCCCGCTGGGAATTTTAAACGGAGGGGTGTTCCTGCCGGCATGTGAGTCGGAATGAGGAGTGGGGACGGGGACGGGGACGGTGGGGGGTTGTCGAGGACACGGTCATGGGCAGCTGTAGGGGGATTACCTTCTACACATATTTTTAACAAGGTCTCAATCTGAGGGCAGTGTTATGGAGATGAGGGTGTGAAGGTCAGTTTAGGAGACTGAGGTCTTGGGGGGGTGGGCACAGAAACAAAAGGTCCCCCAGCTGACTGCTCCACTGACCGGGACGATCCAGAGCCAAACCCCCTCCCAGAGGTCAGAGGTCACAGACTCTAACCCCTTTCTGTGGTGTGACCTGAAGACAGGGTCTCCACTACCGTCTGCACGGCTTCCTTTCTTATGCTAAGCTGCTCCGATTCTCCTCCAATAAAACAGATTTTCCTCAACTTTTGGGTTAGTTTACAGACATGATCCAAAATGTAACTGAAAATCAAGATACCTGACCTTTAGGTTTTATCTTTTTTTAAATAAATGTTTGGAATAAATTAGTCCTGGGTGAATAAAATAATTCTAGACACAGAATTGTTTTAAATATTTTGTGTCACCCGAAAATGTTGATTATTATAACATATGTTTATTTGCTTTGTATTTATGTATGTTGTGCATCTAATTTGACCAAATGCCTTGTGTTGTATTGTGTTCGATGGCCTTCAACTTGAATCATGTATTTTTTCCTCAAGATATAAAGATGTTTAATAATAATGACATCTTATCACCAAGGTATTTAGGTCCTAATCTTTTAAGGAATTGTTTGGAGGAGACCCCTTCATAGATTATAGATAGGCTTCATTTATTTACCACTTTGTATATCCATCCCTGGTCATGGACATTTCAGGTTGAATTGGTTTTCCTGCAGCCTGGAAGGCCAGGAGATGTGGCTGTGAAGAAGCACCAAGTAAATAATGTGATGACACGTTTAGTCTTTTTGACTTCTATATGATCAGGTCTACAGCTCTTGTTGAACGTAAGGCTTAGTTCCAGTCTATATGCAGACACTAACACTCCTTCTGAGTTTTAATTTCTTGCTTTTTTGTGCAGGAGATCAGTGAGAATCAGTTCACAAGAGTGGAAGTCATGGGTCAGGACGGGTCATATTTGGTAGCAAAGAGGACACAGCAGAGTGTTTCCAATTGACAACAAGTCAAGTCGTCTAAAACACCAGGGTGATACACCACTGCTGTTACACCTGTTTATCTAACTGACTAAGGTTCTATGGAGAACAGCTTGATCTCAACAAGTTACTGTTATGATGATGATTATGGATTTCAATGTATTAACTGATTATTAATAACTTAAGTGACAAAGGTTTTAGTTCTATCAAATGTCAAATTCAAAGTACAACACAACTCTGGAGGCTGGGCAAAGTTCTCTCCATGCACCCTCACACAGCTGCAGAGAGCAAAATATAAACTATACTTACTCAAAATATAGAAAGTTGTCAGGGTGGAGAGGAAGAGTCTTGGCTTCATTTTGGTTTTTCTTTTCTCAAAACCTATTGACATCAGAGGTTCCTATCCTTGGAACCTTAAAACAAATCAGATAGATCACAAAGTAATCCCAATGGAACAGTGGCGGTCTCCTCCTGGATGTTCTTTGGTGATAAAGCTTTAATTTGAACAGTTTTTCTCAAAGCATTGCGGTCCCTTAGGTCCAGTGTTCGGCCCCTGGAAGGCTGCTGGTCACGTCCAAAGCTGCTGTGAGAATGGAAGAGGAAGACCCTTCAGCCAGGACGGGGTCATTTGAGATTCAGCCTCATTGTTGTCCCCGAATGGACACTGATAGAGCAGGTCGCTCTGCTGCCAGCCAATAGCAGCGCTGCAGGGAAGAGAGAGGGAGGGTCAGCCTCGGAGACATGATTGATGCTCACTTAAACAGAGCGCTGCTGGCCACCCCCCCCCCCCCCCTGCCTCCGGGGGGGGGGGGGGGGGGTGGTGACCTGAGCCGGACACACTGCTCCTGCCAGGCTGCTCAGAAGTTATTTTCTAGTATTAGGTATATGCAGGGTTACTTTGACACTGTATTTCGTTACAATTACAAGAGTGATGCAACCTAGTCTGAGTATCAAAATAACCTGATAATTTACAGTAACTTTTGGATTACCTCAATATGAAATGCAATGCAAATAAAACAAGATAAATGAAATAACTCTGACGGTGTTGACATGTTAAAGCTGTGACTGCAGTGAAGTCAAGATGGTTTGTTTAAAATATCATCAAATGGAAAATGTACCAGACCAAGTTAGAGCAGGAAATGGAGAAGGGGTTTACAAAGTTATAGCTGAACAGGACATTTGCTGATTAATCAGGGCTGATAAAAATGTTTTATTATGTGATATGTTATTTAGCCATTACTTTCATTGTATTTCTATATTTATGCATTTGTAGCATTTATAAACACTTTTCTTTGGTAGTCTTGCCGAGGGCAGGTTACATGAACCTCTGTGTAAAATGCCCACATTTGAACCTATGAAATAATTAGAAAAAAAGTTAAATGTTAAGAGTCTTTTAGATTAAGTATTTTTTTATTATTAATTTATTGATTTTAGACATAAAGAAGACTATCCAATGAAGGACCTGTTTTGTCCCATATCCCAAGAATCAGTAATTTACTGTCTTTTCATTTATGTAACTGTAAAGAATACAGTTACCTTTTATGGTATCCTGATCACGTAATGAATGAGAAGAGAGAAGAGAAAATTGACCTTTATTAATTTATTAAAAATTCAGTTTCCACTCTGTTGTACACACACATGCGTTTTTATACAGGTCATACAGTCCACACAGTACACACTTTTTAGAACACTCACATACATATACAAATACACACACAGTTATATGCACATGCAGTTGAGAGGTCAGAGCAGAGGCAGCCAGTCTAGCCAGCGCCAGTTGGGGATTAGGTGCCTTGCTCAAGGGCACTTCGGCAGTGGTCCAGGAGGTGAACAGACCCCTCTCCAGTACCAGTCCACACTCCGTATTTTTTGGACCGATCGGGGAGGTGAACTGGCAACCCTTCGGTCCAAAGTCCAATCTCCTACACACTGAACCACTCCCGCCCCAATAATGATGTAATCCATTACTATCCAAGCCTGTGCTGTATATATGCATTTTTATTTTTTCAATAAAGCACTTCACCATTTTAACCAGCCTTAATCAGAACTCATTCAGAAAGTGCATGAAAAGGGTTCGGTTCAGAACCGTCTGGTATGGAGGTTTTTGGGGGAGACACTTTTTCTATTTAACCCTTTCATGCATGAATTATGAAAGCCTCACTCAGGATTTTTTTACCAAGTGTTTTTATTGCTCTTGGGGCATGAAAAACAAGATTTGAACTTTATTTATTTTTTATACAGTTTTTTCAAAGATATATCTATATGTCCACTCAGGTGGACAGTATGCGTTTAGGTTTAAACTGAAGAAATGTGTATTTAACAAAAATATGGATAAAATGGTAAAAAAAAGATGTGCAAACTTAAAATGATATATGTAAATATAAAGAAAATCTGCATACATATCCAAAACACCATTTAGGAATACTCTATTTCACTTTTCTATCTACCATGGTAATTGGCAAAGCACCCAGGGCACAAAGCCACGCGACACTGCATGCAGATGTACTTGGTTCTTCGTGTGCATGCAACATCCTGGCATCTGTTTGCATGATTTGCTTCAGTGAGCTGAGGCCAGTGGTTTCCAGAGCCTAACCTGATCTCAGGGGGTGCCTTGGACACTGCTCTGTGCTTCCGAGGTGGGGTGGCACTGGGTCTTCCTCTTCCGCGTATCTTGATGGATCCTGCATTTATGAGCGCACGAGCTACAGATGCCTTGAAGTGCAGAAGATCCATCTGTTCCAGACCAGACATTTTGTATAGGTGCCAGGCATTCACAGTGGTCACATCCAAGAAGTGGAAGAACACTTTGATGTACCACCGTTTGTTTTTGCGTCTGTGGGGATACATCGCGACACATTGATCCATGAGATCCACTCCTCCCATATGCTGATTGTAGAGCTTCACAGAAAATGGCCTTTGGATGTTGAGCATCTTCTTTTCTTTCTTGCTCCATCTCTAGGCCACATCTGATGGGGACTGGCCGGTGCAGGTAGAGGCCATGTGGATCACTGAACTGTCGAGCCAACGTGTAATACTCAGGTTTTGAGCATTGGTAACAACAGAGCAAGCTCCTCTTCCTTCTTTCTTGAGTTGCTTTTCACTCTTGAGTATCAGTTGTGCTCCATGGAGCCTGTTTCTTTGGCATGTACTAGTGCCACAGATGCCCTGGCTTTTCAATTCCTGAAGGAGTGGAATGGTAGTAAAGAAGTTGTCAAAAAATACCTTGTGATTTTTTTGCTGTATGTCGTCACAGAGGCGTATTACTACATCTGCAGCCATTCCCAATTGACTGATCTGATCACGCACAGCTGCACCCTGATAGACTTCAAACCTGTACATGTATCCAGAGGATCCTGCTCTCACCCACACTTTTACACCCCAGGGTTTGGGTTTTTTGGGGATGTACTGCTTGATAGACAGACGGCCCTTGAAGGGAATCATCTGCTCATCGATCGATTGAAATTCTTCAGGATCGACTGCTGTACGGAATGTTTCCTTGAGTGCTTCTAACACTGGTCTGATTCTGAAGAGCTTATCAGCATTTCCAGGGGCCTGTGAGTAATTATCACCCAGAATCTGCTCAAATCTGTTTACTGGCATGGCATCTGCTATCAAATCAAGACGAAGCCCTTTCTCTGATGACCAGTACATTCTTGATCTTGGGTATCTGATGTATGACATGACCATATTTATTCCTAGGAATGTTTTCATTTTGTTTGAGGTCACAGCCAGATTTTCTTTTCATTTTTGGAGTGCATACAAGTTTGTATTAAACACTATGTCATTGATCAGCTCTTCGGGAAATAGATGCATAAAGAACTCTACTGGTTCTGTTCCCTGAACATTTGCTTTCCACTGTCCTAAAAAAGGAGGCAAGTCTCCCTCAAACTGGTTGTCTCCTATTTTCCAGATGCTTGCTCTGGTAGGTGGCACATCCTCAGCTTCCTCAACCTCAACTCCCTCAGCATCCTCAGCTGCGCTGTCAGTTTCATTAGCTCCTTTTTCTGGCAGTATGTCGTCATCACTGCCACTAAAATCATCTTCACTCGAGTCAGATGGTATTTCCTCCACTATCTTGTAGGCCTTTCTATCACGGTCTGCTTTTGAGCACTACAAAATATAAAGATATACACAATCTTAAAATGACATTATAATAACAAGTATATTGATTTAAGTCCCAAAAAGATATTGCAAATGAAATATTTTCAAGAACAACAGTAGCAGTAGCAGTATGAATTGTAGTTGAAATATAGTCTCTGTCTGTGTCTGTGTATTCTCTTGTTCCGATGAACCCAGCCAAATCTTTTTTCTTGTTTTGTATCTATATCTACGCCGGGATCCGGAGTCGAGGCTGATCCTCTTGCTGTAGTCCTGTGTCTTGGATCCTCTATCCTGAGTTCTGGATTAAGACGTTCGGGTCGTGGCTGAACCTGTCTCTGCGGTCCTGCCTTGGGTCTCGTCATGCTGCTTCCCTGATGGCTTCCACAGGATTGTAGCTGACATCCTCGTGGATTCATCTTCTTATTACAGACACATGCATTTCCTAACATTCGGTCTATATGCTGTAAAATGTATTATGTCTTCGATTTACACCCGGCATCTATTGTACGTCTGTCCGTCCTGGGAGAGGGATCCCTCCTCTGTTGCTCTCCCTGAGGTTTCTCCCATTTTTTCCCCTTAAACTGTGGGTTTTCTCTGGAAGTGTTTCCTTGTACGATGTGAGGGTCTAAGGACAGAGGGTGTTGTTTTTCTCATACTGATATTCTGAACAAACTGTGCTGTTGTATTTGCTATAAAGTGTTTAGGCTATTTTTATGTACAGCACTTTGGCTCGACCAAAAATCGTTTATAAATGTGCTATATAAATAAAACTTGATTTGATTTGATAGCCAGTGATGCATGACGTCCACTGTAGTGGACAGGTGGTTAATCATAATTTCCTCCCAACAGAAAATCAATACTTCGACAATTTATGAATTATATGATTCCTTAGTTGTTACTTGATGTCACCACATTTTTTATACCTGCAGGGGGCGCTTCCATAAAAGGATTGGCAGGATATCGGCAGGTGACTTGGTCCATCTGGCTGTCTGTCGTCCATCTTGGTTTAGAGAGATGTATCATGCACTTACACTGACTTGGCACTGAGTAGCAGTGTATGGGATGATGCAATAGGGTCCTATGTAGTGGCTGATGGTGCAACTATGCAAAAAAAAACAATGCATATACAAGAAAACACCTTTTTAATAGCTGGCCACTGTAGTGACCTCTATGCATGAAATTATTTGTTTTGGATTGAAACATTTAACAAGCAGGTCAAAGTGTCCGATTGAATAACATGATACAATGGAGGACTTTGTACCCAAGCCCAGCATCTTGACAATCGAGTCCTAAAATTACAAGAATGATGCTAATTCAGTTTTGACATATTTTGCCACACTTTGAGTAAAGACAAGATCTCTCTTTTTGTCCTGCTCAATCTGTCACACAATGTTTTTTATCAACAAGCTAGTCAGAAGTGCAGCTCTATGTGACATCCTATGTGGTTAGTTTCAGATTGGTTTCAAAGTGCTGCAGGTGAAAGCATCATGAGGAAGAAGAGGTTAGCCTGAATTATTGTTTCAGTCTGCCACTGCTCAGGCCACAGGGAAATTTCCTTGGTGGCCTGTCCGCCCCTCGGGCCGTGGTAAGGGTCTGTTGCTCC